AGAAAGAAAGAAAGAAAGAAAGAAAGAAAGAAAGAAAGAAAGAAAGAAAGAGAAGCAGGAAGATGAAAGGAACTTCAACCAGATGAAAAAGAATTTTGAAACTATACCTAACTTAATACTTGATTTTGAAAGATTTTCCCTCTAAGTTGAGGAACAAGACAAACATCTTTGCTCTTTCTACTTCTATTCAACATAATACTAGAGGTTCTAGTTAAGGCAATTAGACAAGAAAAAGAAAAGAAAAAAAAAAAAAAGAAAGATATCCAGATTGGAAAGGAAAAGTAAAACTTTCTTTAGTCATATACAATATGATCCTGTAAGAGTTCTTTTGTGAAGTCATTTACTTATAAATTCACAAAACTGTTTTATGGTTAAACCTAAACAGGTGCTCAACCAAATTAAAGTATTCAGAACTTAATCCACAATAAGAAAGTAAAATCTGTATATTTTGCATTTAAGAACTCATTATTCTATGCTGCTGTCAAGAAACATTCTGAATTACTAACTTCAACTCAACAGGCTAGCTAAAATTATTTTGGTTGTTCTCAGTTTATATGTTATAAATAATAATCAATAGACTAGTTTCAAATTAGTCGAAGTCAACTAAAGACAAATATTTGCTTTCTCAGCCCAGCCCAGAGCAAAACAAGTTTAATAGTTAAGGTATATTACAAAAAATAATAATAATAATTAATTAAAATGCCACAGTAAAATTACAAATGAGTGTAATATTTTACATTAAATAATATTAACTGATGTTCCTTTGGATATAAATTTTAATATTCAAAATTTAAAGTATTTTGTGTAATCTACACAGCAGGGGTCAGGAATTTGGAATTTCAGCATTAACCTAGCCTTCCTGCTGATCTACTACTGCTAAACCTCCAGTTAGTTATAGTAACTGAGCCCTTTCTCAATCAACTGAACCCATTCTCAATCAAATCCAGAATTTAACCCTTTTACTATAGGAATTATTTTCAGGCCTTGTTTCCCCCAAAGCCTTGTCTCCCCCAAAGCCTTGTCTTCTCTAGCTGGGAGCTAAATGTCAAACTGGGGTTTTAAGACCCCCTAATATCTAAAGTAATGACTGGATGCTACAGCCATACTGGGGGTATTCACTGTCACTGCCTAGCTGTCCCTAGGACCCATTTCAGAACTGCCCTGTTCTGGCCTATACAATGAACTAAAGTTCTGACATTAAGTCTGCAAATGTTGGAAGATTTGCCATCATATCATCCTTATAAAGAATAAATAACTTCACAAAAGAACCCCTATTTCCATGTTAAATATAAAAAGCAGTTTGATAACAGAAACAAAGTATTCAAAAATATAATTTTACACTTTTTCACATAAACAGGAGTATAAAGATAGTGTTGATTATAAAAAAAGAAATGTAATATGTCACATATCAAACAAATTAATACAAGAAGTTATTTTTAAAATATGTATTCCACAGGATATAAGTTGATCAAATATTTGATAAAGAGCAATAAAATTCTTGAAAATAGGAAAATATTATCACTAATACCTTTAGAAGGAGAAATGTAAATAAGTTCACATATTTTAATTTCAGGAGATTCAGCCACGTAATACATTTCTTGGGATTAATTAAAACTACAGTGTTCAGGGGGTGCCTAGGTGGTTCAGTCAGTTAAGCATCTGACTTGGCTCAGATCATAATCTCACAGTTAGTGTGTTCAAGTCCCGCGTCAGGCTCTGTGCTGACAGCTCAGAACCTGGAGTCTGCTTCAGATTCTGTGTCTCCCTCACTCTCTGCCCCTCCCCAGCTCACTCACTCTCTCTCAAAACTAAACATTAAAAATTTTTTTTAAACTTAAAAAAAAAATGCAGACTTCAGGGGAGCCTGGGTGGTTCATTCAGTCGGTTGAGCAACCCACTCTTGATTCTGGCTTAGGTCATGATCTCATGGTTTGTGAGTCAGGCTCCATGCTGACAGTGCAGAGCCTGCTTAGGATTCTCTCTCTGCCCTTCCCCTGCTCACTTGCTCTGTCTCTCAAAGTAAATAAACTTTATAAAAAACAAACAAAAAAACAGTCTTCCTATTATTAATACAACACTAAATGGTATTTTATCTAAATTAAAATAAAAAACAATAAAGAAAAATTACTATCTGTGGAAAATCTTCAATAGTGTAAGTACTATGTATAAGAACTATTTAAAATTTTATTATGACATCAGAATTAGATTTCATTTTTTAAACCAAAATAAACTATATCATTACAAAGGAAAGACGTAGGAAAGGGAAGGAGGGAGAACTGCATGTTAAATCAGTATCTCTTTTAGTCTACTGGGATTAACATAAACATGGTGCTTCCATTGTGCAAGATACATTGAAATGTAGGAGCTATTTATTTCATTTACCTCCACAAAGTAAGAATATAATACACAAGTAAAAGACCAAGAGAAATATGTTAGTAAAAAGAAAAAGAAGATAGAATTACTAATAAAGCTTATATTTAGACAGGAAGAATTTTTTTAAAAACCTCCAACTTTTATCATTAAAAAAAAATCTAAATATGAAGACTGTTTACTCACATTTAAAGACTCATAATCATAAATGCTTATTTAAAACATAAATAATATGTTTCTCTTTCTATTTACTTCCAAAGCTTCTTATGAAAATGTTAGAGGAAATATATACACATAAAATTAAGCTATGAAGGGGCGCCTGGGTGGCTCAGTCGGTTAAGTGTCTGACTTCAGTTCAGGCCATGATCTCACTGTCTTTGAGTTCGAGCCCCGCGTCAGGCTCTGTGCTGACAGCTCAGAGCCTGGAGCCTGCTTTGGATTCTGTGTCTCCCTCACTCTCTCTGCACCTCCCCCACTCATGCTCTGTCTCTCTTTCAAAACTAAAATAAAAACATTAAAAAAAATTTTTTAAGATAAAAAAATTAAGCTATGAAGGCAAAATAATGCTATAAAATGGTCTGGCTGCTTTAGTGGCTTTTAAATACCATAGGCAAAAAGAGAGCTAAAAATGGTATCTTAACAAATACAACCTATTTTTCTTATTTACATTCAGTAATTAAACTTCTAGAGAGAAATTTTTAAATATTCCTTGCATTTTATTTACAAGTGCTACATAATTCCATTTAGTATGAACTACTAAAAAGTAAAAACTAATTTACATCATTTTTTTAAAAAGACAAAAAATAAAAAGACATTAAACAGTTTGACAATTAGTCTATTTTGACATATTTTGATATTTTTTAAATGTGAATTGGTCTAAGTGGAATTATTCTGGTACTTTAAAGACAATCTTCAAATGATAAGAATAAAAATCACTAAAATAAACATTTTTCATAATTTTGCCATACCTTTAGCTAAAGCTTCTTTATATTTCTCTCTGGCAGAATTCATTTCTTTTATCAACTGTCTATAGCTGGACTTTAATTTTTCTAATTCTGTCTTCGTAACCTGTCAAAAAAAAATGCAAAACAAATTTTAAATGATTAAATTTATATTTGTCAAGAACTTAAGTCCTAATATATTTTTATTGCTTATAGATCAGAGTTGTTCCTTAATATACATTATAGACAATATATTAAACACTGGTTTAGAAGTCAATGATAAATTCAACGCCATATGAAAAAAGAAAAACATCTCTTAAAAATAAAAGCAAATCAAGAAATAGTGCTGTCATCATCTAAAATTTAAAGACCAATAGATTAATATACTATGTATAAAATATTTTTTCTAAAAAATATTTATTTTAATATACAGAATAACTGAGTTGTAACAATTTACCAGTTCTAACATGAGTTTTTTGGTTTTTGTGTTTTGGGTTTTTCAGATATTGTAACATCACTTAAAATAAGATGTATCTAACAATCACTGTTGGCTACATAATAATCATGACAGTGGTCATTACATACATACATGAAATCTGTTATTCTATCTATGGAAAGACTAAACAAATGCAGGTCCTTGATTCTGTACCCAAAAAACACTTAAAAGTCTGCTCTGTCTGAAATTAATATAGCTACTTCTACTTCCTTTTGATTAGGATTAGCATAGTATATCTTTCTCCATCCATTTACTATCAATCTATATGTGTCTTAATATCTAAAATGGGTTTATTGTAGACAACATATACTTGGGTCTTGTTTGTAAATCCACTCTGAAATGTCCCTTAATGGGCTCATTTAGACCACTGACCTTCAAAGTACTTATCCACACACTTGGATTAATAGGTACCATATTTGTTAGTTTCCTAATTGTTATCCTTGTTATTTGTTCCTATTTCTAACACTCTTTTTTATACTTTTCTGTGGTTTTAAGTGAGTATTTTATACAATTCCACCCTCTCTTATTTCTTAGCGTATCAGTTACATTTCTTTTTTAACTTTTTTTTAGTAAGTGCCCTAGAGTTCACAATATGTATTTAAAACTAATGCAAGCCTACTGTCAAAGACCACTATACCATTATACCACATTTCAAGGACCACTATACCACATAAGTATCTTACAATAACAAAATAATCCTAATTCCTCCTTCCCATCTATCATTGCTGTCATTCATTTAACTTATATATAAGCATACATAAACATATATCTATATATATACACACACACAAGATATATTCATGACTGTACATAATCAAACGTTGCTGTTACGATTTTCAATAAAGTGTTATGTGTTAGATTAATTAAGAGTGAGAAACATAAATTTTTACTTTATCTTCACATTCCTTCCCCAGTGCTCTTCCTTTCATGATGTAGATCTGAGTTACTGACCTATATTATTTTCCTTCTCAGTCCACTGGATACAAATTTCCTCAATTTTTGTCTATCAAAGAAAGTCTTTATTTCATTTTTGAAGGATAATTTCACAGGGCATAGAATTCGAGGAAAGTGGGTTTTTTCTCTCAACACTTAAATATTTCATTCTACTCCCTTCTTGCCTACTTAATTCTGAGGAGAAATCAGATGTAATTCTTATATGTTCTTCCATACGTTAAGGTGCTTTTGTACTCAGGCTTCTTTCAGGATTTTTTCTTTATCTTTGATTATCTATAGCTTGAAATAAACATGGCTAGAGTGTAGTTTTTTGGTCATTTATTCTGTTTGGTGTTCTCTGAGCTTCCTAGAACTACTGTTTGGTGTCTGACATTAATTTGGACAGATTCTCAGTCATTATTATTTCAAATATTTCTTGTTCCTTTCTCTCTTTCTTCTCCTACAGGTATTCCATTATACATATGTTACATCTTTTGTAGCTGCCTCACAGTTCTTGGATATTCTGTTCCATTTTTTTTTTTTCAGTCTGTATTCTCTGCTTTCAGTTTTATAGAATGTTACTGATATATCCTCAACTTCAGAGATTATTTCCTCTATTGTGTCTAATCTCCTACTAAGCCCTTCAAAGTCATTCTTCACTTCTATTAAGGTATTTTAGATCTCTAGTATTTCTTTTTGGTTCTTTCCTAGGATTTCCAACTTTATGCTTACATCACCCATCTGCTCTTTCGTACTTACTTTATCCATCAGAGCCCTTAGCATATTATTCATAGTTGTTTTAAGTTCCTGGTCTGAGATTTCCAACATCCCTGCTGTGTCTGGTTCTGATGCTTGTTCTGTCTCTTCCAATTCTGCATGTTTGGCTCTTGGTAAGCCTTGTTATGTTTTCTTGATTGCCAGGCAGATTGTACCGAGCAAAAGGAACTGATTAAACCGGACTTACTAACGTGGTGATAAGCTGCCAGAAAAAGGGAAAGTATTTTATAGCCTATGATTAGGCCTCAGTCTTTTACTGAGCCTATACCTCTGGCTATGAACTTCACATGTGTTCCTCAGCTCACTAGCCCACTCTCCACTCAGAGTGGACAGGAGTTATGAATCCCCCTTGCCCCAGATCAATTAGGTTACAGGTAAACAGTTTCTCCTAAGCGACTTTATTAAGAACAGAATGCTTTGGCATATGGCAAAATGGTTCCTTTTCCCTCCTGAAGCATGAGCTTTTTCTCCAATATTCACTGTGAGAACCTGGTAGAGGTCTAGGAGGTAAAATTCACAGAAGTGTGTAGTTCCCTCAATAAGTAGCTCCCCCTGGAGGTTTTAACTGTCAGAGTTGTCCACACTGAGCCTCCAGAATTTGTCACTTACACTCCAGGTTTTCCTATAACCAGTACTATTTCCCAAAGAGGCTTTTGCTCTGATAAGTTGTAATTCTCTGTATTCGCTTGTCTGTCTCTCCAATTTTAGGGGGAGCCATTTGCCCTGTCACGTCACTTCTCTTAAGGATCTAAAAGCAATTGATGATTTTTCTATTTGTTCAAATTTTAACTCCTTGTTAGGAATGAGTGACAACTTCTAATCTTCTTATATGCTGGACTGGAAACTGGAAGTCTTAACTTCTGAAGTTGCTAAAGAACCAATTCATGTTCTCCAAGCTGGCTTATTAATTGCAAAAAGCAAGCATTTATCCTGATTCTTGTATATGAATGATACCTCAGGGTAGCCAAGTAGGTGATATAACAAAACTTTCTATTGAAAAATTATAGCTAACAATCATATTAGGAATGATAGAAGTAAAATACTGCCATTTTACAACCCCTAGTAAAATAATGGATCTAAGCAGTGAACATCAATTATTTCTAAACCTATTAGGTAAATGTCTGAAAAGAAACTTTTTTCATAGGTTGATCAGGCTAGCAGGACTGGAACCTATTAGACAAGCTTAACATCACAAATAGATAAACAAGATGACATTAGATATCTCTGATAGGGGGAAAAAAAAACAGGAAGTCTATACCAGCACCTATCATGTATTCTTGCCCCAAATAAGTAGACAGAATGTTATCAAGCCAATCTAATTACTCTCCAGTTTACAGGAAAATTGAAGGATGAAGAAATATGTGAAATCACATCACAAGATGCTAACAATAAAGTCAAAAATTAAGGAACTTCAATTCTATAGAGCAAATTACCCAATTTCTTCCACAAATAAATAGCATTTTTAAAAGGTTGGGAGTGGTAGGTGCCTGGGTGGCTCAGTCAGCTTAAGTGTCCAACTCTTGATTGAAGTTCAGGTCATGATCTCAGGGTTTGTGTGATCAAGCCCCACACTGGTTTTCTGCACTGACAGCGCAGAACCTTCTTGGGATTCTCTCTCTGACCCTCCCCTGCTTTCACATGCATGTGCTCTTTCTCTCTCAAAATAAATAAACTTTTAAAAAATGGGGGGGGGGGACACCTACAGATTAAAATTATTCAAATGCATGTTTGGGTCATGATTCAAATGAACCAACTGTAAAAAAACATTTAAAAAACAATCAGTTGAGCACAGTCAGAATATTTTATAACATTAAGAAATTACTGTTATTTTTACGTAGGTTAATGATAATATAGTTAAGTTTTTTTTAATATTTATTTTAGCAATATATACTAAAATATTTATGGATACAATGATATCTGAAATTTTTTAAATGGTTCAGTGTATTAGAAAATGGAGGTGAGTATAGATTTTAAAAAACCTTGACTATGTGGGTGGATCAGTCAATGGGAGTTTGTTTTACTATTCTCTCTCCTTTTGCACATTTGAAACTTTCATAATAAAAAACATTTTAAAAAGTTACCCAGAAAAAAACAAACTCTGATTGTGAAAAAAATTTTAGAAATATCAAAACTCATTTATTTTGCCTGTATTTTCTTTTCTATTATATGCATAGTAAAAATTAAAATCATAAAACTTAAAAGAGCTACTGCAGTAAGTAAAAAATAAAAATTCAAAGTGATAAGAGAGCACTGTATAGTCTAATTGGCAGCATTCTTTTCTTTCAGAAGAGTATATAAAGTAATAGTACAGCTTATAATCAATAATGTTTTATAATAAATAGGAATAAAATATCACTTATTAGAGACACCAAAACCTATTTCTAATAATAAAATGATGGCCCACCAACACATGAAAAAATGCTCAACATCACTCATCATCAGGGAAATACAAATCAAAACCACAATGAGATACCTCCTTATACCTGTCAGACTGACTAACATTAACAACTCAGGCAACAACAGATGTTGGCGAGGATGCGGAGAAAGAGGATCTCTTTTGCATTGTTGGTGGGAATGCAAGTTGGTGCAGCCACTCTGGAAAATAGTATGGAGGTTCCTCAAAAAACTAAAAACAGAACTACCCTATAACCCAGCAATTGCACTACTAGGTATTTATCCAAGGGATACAGGTGTGCTGTTTCAAAGGGACACATGCACCCCCATGTTTATAGCAGCACTATCAACAACAGCCAAAGTATGGAAGGAGCCCAAATGTCCATCGATGGATGAATGGATAAAGAAGTATGGTAGATATATACAATGGAGTATTACTCGGCAAGCAAAAAGAATGAATTCTTGCCATTTGCAACTACGTGCATGGAACTGGAGGGTATCATGTTAAGTAAAATGAGTCAGAGAAAGACAAAAATCATATGACTTCACTCATATGAGGACTTTAAGAGACAAAACAGATGAACATAAGGGAAAGGAAACAAAACTAATATAAAAACAGGGAGGGGGACAAAACAGAAGAGACTCAAAAATATGGAGAACAAACTGAGGGTTACTGCAGGGGTTGTGGGAGGGGGGATGGGCTATATGGGTAAGGGGCATTAAGGAATCTACTCCTGAAATCATTGTTGCACTATATGTTAACTAATTTGGATGTAAATTTTAAAAAATCAAAAATAAAATAATAAACAAATAAATAAATAAAATGATGACTAAACAATTTTTAAAAGTCAAACAAGATGAAATATTTCAGTGAGTCTCAAAGTCAAATTAAAAAAAGAATTCCAGAATAAAAAGACAAACCTTGATCATCTCTGCCTCTATCTGCTGATGAACACCTATAAAACTTTTCTTCATCTGTTGCTTATCTTTAATCATCATGGTGAGCCTGTGTAAGGGTCCAGAATTTAGGTCCTCTGCATGTGTCTTCATTATTCTACTAAGTTGCTCTGTCTGCTGAATCATAAGTAGCCAAGACTTTAAAAAAAGAAAGAATGAAAGAAAATTAGCACTTGTATTAAAGGCTGCCATTTAGTTGTGCTTTAAGTGTTCTGGAACTTTAAATATTTAGTTTTACAGAAATTATTACATTAATACAAAAATGCCAGGTTTCTCGCAATTGTGCAAGGAGCTATGAATGGCTCAGATTTAACATCTTCAACTTCAAGTACAAATGCTTCAAAATTTAGTAATCAGAGACTATGTAGTATTGGAGGAAAGGGATTAAGGCTCTTCGAGAGTTCACACTTGCAGTCTTCATTTTATCACTTCTTGTCTCTTTGTCAATATGTTGATATAATCCTTCTGCCTACACCATACTGATGCCTCAGTAAGGTCACCATTTCCTAATGGTCAAATGCAACAGATATTTACCCGTCTTTATTCTTAACATTTCTCTCTGTGGCATCTGATCTTGCTGACCCACTCACTCCTTCCTGAAACTCTCCTTTTCTGGTTTGGATGGCTTCTTATATTCCAACATACCAAGTTGTCTTCTCCTTTTCCTAAAAATCCCTTCTCAATCTTTGTACTTGCTATTCATTTGCTGCTTATGTATTAAATACTGGTAATCTGTGGATTTCTATCTATTCTCGTTTCTTAGTAAATACCATTAGCTCTCAATGGTTTTTCCAGCACAACACATTCCATCAATAGCAGACACACATAATGGTGGGGTTTGGGACAAGTCAGCATATGGATACTGCTGGAAGAACAAGTCATTTGTTATTAAACATTCTAATTTCTAGATACTAAAAAAAAAAAAGCAACTGAGGAATACTCTTCACTATAGATCTTCAAAATTCTATTCAGAAACAATTGTTGGAGATATACCATGGCTGGGTAAGATCCATGTTAAAGATTAAAAAAGTAGACAAGGTATGATTTCAGATATTTACTGATTATAATAAATTGTTATGCTATTACTTATGATCTGTGAATGAACAGGATTACCCTCCATTGGTTAATGTTCTGATATAATCCTAAATCAAAATTTAATAAGCATCTAAATCAAAATAATAGCCTAAAAGAATCAAATTCTTAGTCATAGTCAAAACTCACCAGGCTCTAACTTAGTAATCTTGTTTTTGGTAAACTGTAATATACATTTTTTTAAAAGTTAACCTTTGAGTACATTTTTTAGGGAGAAGGGCATTCTTAGTTATGAAATGTTATTATGAACATGGAGTAAAATGTGACCAATAAATCTGATTTATTCAGATTCAAAACTCTAAGTACTAATAATATGCTCTTGATACCACAAAGGAATTTAAAACTGATATATCTCTTCCATTAAAATATAAAATTTAACAAAGATGAAAACAGTAAAAAACAAAACTATACAAACATGGATTAAAAACAAACTAAATATCCTAATAACTTCTGTAACTTGGCCTTTTTCATTTTTGTATTTTCACTCTAAAAAATACAATGCTGGGAAAACACTATGTAGCATGTTCAGAATGTTAAAACTACGAAAAAATAAGAGGAATCAGTGTTTCATTCTCTATCTTCAAAAATTAAATATTCTCTAAGTGCTTCATAGCAATAAATTTTTGTAATTTTACATAGGACTCTTTGCGGCCTAAGAGAGAAGCCTTCTTGGAAGCCAACATTAAAGGTGAGACAACAAAGTCAGATTGACCTCCTCTTCCCAGGAGGGCACATCTCATCCTGCCTAATGGTCCTGTTTACCGTAGTCACTGTGGGAAGTCCAAGCATCCCAAGATATATATCATCACGCCAATTACCAATCCTATGTTGCCCTCAATATTTCCTAATGTGACTCGGGAACTCTCTAGAGAATCCTGTACCCTCAAAAGCTCCTTAAAAACTCCTTACACCTCATATCAGAACTTTCCACTTACCTTCTAGCTTTTACAAAAACCTGGCTTTAACCCATTCCCAACATCCTAATAGCTAATAAATAAAACCACTCTTCCTAAAAAAGTCCCTGCTCCTTTGAAGTTCAGGTCACCCTTCCCAACAATCTATCAGCAAGCCTTTCTGATTCTCTCTCCAAAGTCTACCACAAATCCACCCACTTCTCTCCATCTCCACTGTCTTTTGGAAGTTATGACTATCTCTGGCTTAAATTATTACAAAACCTCCAAATTGCTGTCCTCTTTTTACTCCTGCTCCTCCCCAATCCACTGCCTTCAAAGTAGCAAAAGAAATTCTAATTCTCTTGCAAAAAAAACCCTACATTGCTTTTCCTTTGCACTTAAAAACAAAAATCCAACTTATTTCTAAAACCTAGTTGTCTCAGATTATCCATCCTCTGCCTGTCCTTCCAAGTTCACATTTTGCTATTCTCTACCCAACTAAATAAATAAACCATTGTTTTCCTTCAGTTTCCTGAACATTCACTCTTTCTCAAAGCTCACCCTCTCTTTCACTTGGCAAGACCCGTCTCTTCCTTTAGAAATCAACAAAACCTTATGTAGGTGTAATCCTTGCTTTTCTCTCTCTTAGCACTTGAAACAACTATCTGTATGTATACTTGTTTGGTTTTTTTTCTGTCTCCCCAACCAGAATGCAAGCTCCAGGGGAGTGGTACCATAACTCTTTCCTCACTAATTTAGGTATTTACTGTGATGCCTTAAATAGCTACTAAATATTCTTTGAAAGAAGAAAGGAAGGGAGGGATGGAGGCAGGGAGGCACAAATGTAAAAGAAAACCATGAATTAAATACATGCCATTAAAAGATATTTTCATTGTTTATTACCGGAAATAGAATGATAGCAATGCCAATTATGACAGGGAAGAAAAAAATTAACGGATCTTCAACTAATACAACAAAGGGAGAGGAGCAGTACATAATGCAATTATGAAGCAATGCCTAAAAGGAATGCGTGAGTGGGCAAGAAAATGTTTGGATAGTATATAATTTGAATTAGACAGGTGACTAGAATATTTGTTGTAAAGAGAAGAGAGTAAAATGTTAACAGATGCTTGATAAACAAAAGTAAAGGAGTACTTCAACATTTGCAATAGAACTTGTGCAGCACTTTGCAGATATGGCTCTTTGGTTATGGCACAGGAATGGCCAGGGCACAGACAAATTATCTGTTGACCAGGATAATTTGTGGAACATAACTCTTTGTAACCTAATAAGCAAAATACTGTAGGCCACTGGCAGGCATTCAAATTTCTTTATTATACAGTATCCTACGTAATGGTAATAATTCTGCTAATAATATTCCTCATAACGGGATTTTACTAGTAGTTACTCACTGATGCTGAACACTAGATAAGTTAAGAAATATTAACAAATAAAAACATCTAAAGTTCAACTTCAAAAAAATAATCATAGCAAAGAATAATAATACAATGTCTAAACACAACCATCGTGGTTAAGTTTATAAAACAGAATATAAATATATCCTAACTATTGAGAAAAGAGCTACAAAATGTAAATGTAGTAATAATGTAACTATAAAAAACTAGACAAAAAAATCTAGTGGATAGTAACAAAAACCAGGAATGAGAATTTGATGAGAAAAGTGTAATTATGTCCATTTTCCCTCTTTTCAAATAGAAGAGTGTATAGACAGCTCTACATCTAAAGTTTGTAAAGAAATATGGACTTAAGTTTAAAATTTTTAAATTTCAAAAGTTAAACAAGTGAATATTTAGGAAAAAAAAAACTATACAGACCATCTAAGTTATCAAAAGTACTTTTTGAAGAAAGTTAACATTGCCCATTAAAAAAAGAAAGAGAGCAAAAGAAACAAAAAATTATTGACAATTAAAAATGAGTTGCAAAATAAAAATTATGCTAAACACATCCGTTAAACATTGTATGAAAATATTATCTGTTAAACATCTATGAAAATTCAGGTAAACATTATCAAATCAGAGGAGGGAACTTCACTCTAGGCAATAAATAAGAAACATCAGTAAAATAAAATAACATACAACAACAAAAAGACAAGTAAAACTACCCCAGAAAAATATAAACAATAGGATTCAGTACTCATTATGTCCAAATAATTTCAAATTGAATTCTAGACCCAAAATATAAAACAAAGAAGGGCACATTATGATGCAGAAGAATATCAATTACAATGAACATATAACTGTCATGAATCTTTTCATTCCAGAAAACAGTACATGAAAACACACAAAGCAAAACAGTAGAAAATGAAATGAGAAATCAAAAGTAGCAGGAGAATTAAATGTACTCATCTCTACCTATGACAGATAAACTAAAAAAATAAATAATGCAGAGTATCTGAATAAGTAATTTAATAATGAATATGTTTGATCTATATTACATATAAAAATCTATATACCTCCCCAGGTATAGAAGATATGTATTTTTAAAGAATCTATGGAATATTCATTTTTTTAACTTTATTTTGAGACAGAGAGGGAGTGAGCAGGGGAAGAGCAGAGATTGACAGGATGAGAGAGAATCCTAAGCAGGCTCTATGCTGTCAGCGTGCAGCCTGATGCATGGCTCGATCCCATGAACCATGAGATCATGATCTGAGCTGAAATTGAGAGTCAGATGCTTAACTGACTAAGTCAGGTGCCCCAAATCTATGGAATATTCCTAAAAATTAGATGATATTATACTACAAAAAAATTTATAAATTTCTTCAAGAATAGAAAATAGTACATACTAACTATACTTTCTATCTAGCCTCTTACAAGGAAAAAAAGCAAAGAAAAAATCACTGACAGAATTTTTTAAGAAAAAAATAATTAAATCATTTCTTAAAAATAGATAGGCCAAATAGTAAAGTTTGTAAAACTAATATAAGACCTAGAAAATACCAGTAAATAAAATACTGACTACCAAAATCTATGATACAGAGCTCAATTTGCCAAAAGATTCACAAACTTTATAGTTCCATTTCTAAGTAAGAATAAAAATAAATTTATTAAATGTTCAATTTTAGAAATTGGGAAAGGAAGAACACTATAAAATCTAAGGAAAATATGGGGCGCCTGGGTGGCGCAGTCGGTT